GTAATATTTGGTGTCACAAGTTTTTGCCATGAATATTTTGTGGGTCAGAAGATAAAAAGTTTGGGAACCACTGATCTAAATGATGTTTGCTGTATTTCTTATATGTCCGGTCTGAATGGTTGTTCTGTAAACTTAAAAGTGATTCAGCGGGATTCCTGTTTGAATAACTATTTATGCAAATAATTCAGGCCTACTCCAGGTTTGAGAACCTCTCCCATGACGTCACTCACCTGACTGGATCAGGATAATTGTCCTCACCTGTTGGATGAGCCTCYGCGATGTAGACCACAAGAAAGTCCGCCACGTCGCTGAACTCCCTGACGAGCTGCTTGAACTCGTCCAGTGTGAACATGAACGGGGGTCAGGTGCAGCTCCCAAAGCTCAGGACAAGGGGCCTGCTTCCTGCAGGGACCCACACAGACCAGTGAATGGGGCTCTCAAAGCAAAAAAAAGCCCACCCTGACTCAGTTACCTGAACGCACCTTTCATAAAGCGGTGGATGCTGGTTCTCTCTCCGTCCGTGCTGACCACAGGTGTGTCCGGCGCTTCTCCCCCTACGAACGCCTCCTGTCCGAGCGACAGCAACAAGCCACTCAAGGCCGACGTGAGAAACTGCGCGGACTTGAACGTCGGGCCCCAGTCCTCAAACTTAAACTTGGTGATCCGGGTCATCTGCCACTTTTCACCTCGTTTCAAGATCTGCTTCTTGGCGAAGCTCGGAGAGAAGAAATACAACATGTTGAACACGACGTAGAGCCCTATTACCTGGCAGCAGCTGCATGCTGTCGACAAACACACCWGCAGTTTCTGTAGGATCATCGTGGGTCGGCTGAGGACCAAGTGAAACTGAACCGAACACCGCTGCTGTTTTCAGGCTTCGTGCTGCCTTCACGGACCCTCGTCGAGCTCGGATTATGRTTTAGAAGTGAAAAGTAAACACGGGATTCTGAGCACTGAGGTCAGTGTGAAAGATAACTTCGTATCCGTGATGGTTTTAASCTGGTCTGTGAGCGTGTTGGCTTTGTCGGTCGTGTTAGTAAAAATACTGCATGACTCTGGACGGATTTGAACGAAGCTCTCAAAGTAAACATTGATGAACAAGTGGCACAGCAAATGTGTTTRAGGTGGGTCTGACTTCAAAGGGTGTGTGTCACTAAATTATGTCTGTTATTCATCAACTAGCTATTCAGTTTCCCACTGACTGRTACAAAGAAACTTCACAAAGCTAATTTCAAACTCTTTTTTTTAAAGAGCTTAGAATAAGGTTAAGATCACATGGCTTGTTTATAATGCAGTAAAACATTAAAAAAATCCAAGAAATTTACACTAAACATAGGGATGTGGATAAAATTCATATCCCACACCAATATCAAATCRAACAGCAGATTCAAAAAGAACATTAAAATCCCTACAAAATAACACCAAAAACCACGGAATTCTCTCAAGTTTAAAATAAGTTATGGATGTTTGTTTAGGGTGTTATGGTAATATTTATTTAACAAAGACAGAAGTATGTGGTCCAAGAATGAAGGTACTCCATGAGATGATCAGCTGAGTTTTATTGCAACAACAGGAAACACAGAGAACAACCTGGCCTGTCTCTGTGCCTCTGCTTCTCTCTGTCACTGTCTCTCCACACTACTCCACTGTTGAACATTGTTGATGTAGTTGAAAGGCCTCATATATATATATAC